AGGGCCCCCAGAGGCCGAACGCTGAGGAAAACCTCCGTCGTGACTGTTTCAATTCGTTGGATCTCAGGGTTCCCCCCCTCGCTCGCCGCCGAAAACCTGGAACCTGGAACCTCGAAGTTCCCCCCCTCGCTCGCCGCCGAACCATGAGCCACGGCGCGCCGAGGGGCAGAGCTGGGCAGTTGTACGCACCCTGAGATCCTTCAGTTCAGCGATCGGGCCTTTGAGCGTCTCCATGGCGATCGGGCCCTTGAGCGAAATCCATCAGTTCAGCAATCCTCGCCTCCCCAGTCGCCATGGAGACGCTCAGGGGCCAGATCAAGGCCCTTCGGAAAGGGCCAGCCACGCAGTCCCCACCGCGTTTAGTGGGCGGAAAGCAGGAGCCAAAAGCGGGAAGCAAGACGGCGACCACAACATCGACGTTGAAAACCGGTGGTTCCTGCACGGTTTCCCCCGGAGCCGTAGGCGACCCGAGGAGGAGGAGGAGGAGGAGGAGGAGGAGGAGGAGGAGGAGGAGGAGAGGAGGAGGGAGGAGGAAGCGGAGGAGGAAGCGGAGGAGAAGGAGGAGGAGGAGGAGGAGAAGGGGCCCGAGGAGGGGGAGGGGAGGAGGAGGAGGAGGAGGAGGAGGAGGAGGAGGAGGAGGAGGAGGAGGAGGAGGAGGAGGAGGGCGGAGGAGGAGGAGAGGAGGAGAAGGAGGAGGAGGAGGGGGTGGAGGAGGGGGAGGAGGAGGAGGAGGAAGAGGAGGAGGAAGAAGAGGAGGGGGTGGTGGAGGAGGAGGAGGAGGAGGAGGAGGAGGAGGAGGGGAGGAGGGGGAGGAGAGGAGGAGGGGAGGAGGGAGGAGGAGAAGGAGGAGGAGGAGGAGGAGGACGAGGAGGAGGAGGAGGAGGACGAGGAGGAGGAGGAGGAGGACGGGTCGTCTAAGCCCTTCGGAGAAACCCTCCGAGGACGGACGGCGACCACAACAACGACGTTGAAGACTGGTCGTTCCTTCTCGCGTGCCACTCCTAAGGAGGTGCACTTACATCTGAAAACCGGTACAGCCTCTCGGGCGCCCCACGGGGCCACTCGGGCGCACCCAAAAGGCTCGCGGGCGCCCCATGAGGATTCTTCAGGCTCCTGGACTCCGCTCAGGAACCCCGAGACTCACTCCTTCATTGATGCGTATCCATCTCCCTCTGGTGCGCCGCCAAACCCTGAACGTGAACGCACCCGCAGTGAAGCCGTCACCACGTCTAGGGGTGCACCATGCAGATGTAAGAGAAGGTCTGAGAACGCATACAGCTAGACCCAGGACATAATAACATCCTTCAAGAACATGATATCCTCCGCCAGCGAAAACGCACGGAACATCCAAGGGTAACCTCCCCAGAGTGCACAATAACACCCAACAAACACGACGAGCAGTAGGGTACCTTCCCCGAGCCGATCTCGATATTTTACCTCGGTCCCACTGTGGCTCTCAGAGGGAGGGAGGGAGGGAGGGAGGGAGGGAGAGAGGAGGAATGGTGAAATGGATGGGGGAGGGGGAAGGAATAGAGGAGGGAGGGGGTCCGACGTAGGAGCAAGGTTCAAGGGTTAGAACAAATTATTGGACGCATGGGAGCGCCAAGGCAGCCCGCGCCAAGGCGTCCGGAGCGCGCTTCGAGAGTAAGCTGCGACGAAGTCTGCGTGAGAGCGCGATTCCTAAGCGGTGTTCCAAGAGGTTCGCGGAGGAGCAAAAAAGAGAGGCCTCAGGATCCCTCCGAGCGCCGTCAGAAGCCTCCCAGACGGTCCACAACATCCCCCCCCCAAGAGAACCCTGTACAAGCTGGCCTACAAGGGGCCTATGGCATCCCAAAAGGGCTCCAAGAAGTTTCCAACGCAGCCCTGAGAGACTGCCCAGACGGCCGAAAGTGGCTCCGGACGGCACCAGCACTGCCCAACAGAGCCCCAAAGCTATCCCAAAAGGCTTAAACAGGACCCCGTAACCCAAGACAGCCCACGTAGCCTCCATCAGAGCACCACAAACAACAGAGACGAGGTGTCACAGTCACGGCGTTCTGGGCGGTGCTCGAAACGCCGACATGCTGAGCGCCGCGCTGGCACGGTCGCGGGGCTTGCTGGAGGCAGCCAGGAACGTTGCCATCGGACGAGAGCGCCATTCGTTGGGGCGAGGGGTATCGGAACAAACGGTGAGGGGGCATCGAGCAGGAGCAGTTGTCGACGATGCGCCCTCACGAACCAAAAGAAGTTGCGAGCTCGACCACGTGGCGTGCGCAAAGGCGACGGCGCGCGGAACCGTCGCCAAAGACCGGCAAACATAAGCATCCAGGAATGAGGATTCGAAGATGAGGACGGCGCCGACCGACTACGCAAAAGGCACCTGCGCACCACCAGCACCACCATGCCTGGCGAGGGCCACACTGTGCCCTGGTATGGTGTGCCAGGCCTCGGCTAGGAGGGTCCTGGACATTACCCCAGGGATCAGGCTGGAGGTCGCCAAGAGGTGCTGCTGGCCCAAAGG